TCTCATACAGATAGCCAAGAAACCAGTGGGGAGAGTGAGTGGGCAGGGGCATGTTCTGGAGTTGTTGATGACCTGCTCTCATTCCACTTGCTCCTTGATGGGCATGTCACTCCACTGGGCTCATTGGCATCTCTGTAGGGTTTCTGCCAGGCTTCTTGTTCCACTGAGTTCTTCTGGTCTCTCTTGGTACACAATAGCTTCAGTTTGAACTGTGTCTAGCTTCTAAAGCTCTCCCAGATGAGGGTAGCCTGACCCTCTTTAATTATAGCTGCCCACACCTAACCAAGAAAAGGTAGGTCAAGTGCCCTAAAAGCTAAGATTAGCTCTTTCCTTTAGGCAGTCAAGCGGCTCAGTGGATGGAGTACTGGGCTTGGAGTCAGGAAGACCTGAGTTCAAATGCAGCCTCAGACACTCACTAGCTATGTAACCCTGGGCAAGTCAGTTAACCTATGTTTGCCTTAATCCACTGGAGAAGGCGATGGCCCAGTGTAGAAGCTTTATATTCCAGCTGCCTAGGGTTGGGTTCTGCCAATCTGATGCATTCCCCTGTAAGGTCCTCTCTCCTTAAGTTCTAAGTGTATTTGCACAAGAATCAAAGGTAGGCTAAGAAGGCCAGGGTAGTGTTCTCCACCTACCTGGCCCCAAATTCAGTCTTCTTAGGCCTACCTTCAGTAGCAAAGCCTCCATGCTTTGGTGCTCTTTTTTCTTCCAGCAAAAAAATGAATGTTCCTCTGGGTGCCCTGAGGAGCTTGCAGGGACACCATAGACAGGGCCTTTGGAGCCTCGCCCAGATGCCAAAGTCTGGAGGGTCCCTTGGGGAGTCTTCAGTACTCTCAGGGGCTTGAGGTCTCAAGGACACTCGGGGACGCTCCAGGACTTTTTTTCTGTCACTCTTGGAGACACTGAAGAGTGCTCAAGGCCTCTCTTGAGGCCTCATCTAGGCTCTAAGGATCTTATATTCTCTCCTACACTCTTTTTTTTTTCCCTTTTGGTGAGGCAATGGGGTTAAGTGACTTGCCCAGGGTCACATAGTTAGTAAATGTCAAGTGTCTGAGGGTGGATTTGAACTCAGGTCCTCCTGACTCCAAGGCCGGCGCTCTATCCACTCCTACACTCTTTAGAGGCTTCACAGATGTGGAAGCATATTTTAAAACTCCTTCACAATTTCTCTGGGAAGATGAAGAAATCATCATTTTCTGGCCACAGGCCCCTTCCAAGACTTTCTGGTGTGAGGACAGGAGAGTTTCCTTATGGAAAGAGCACTTGGCTCTGGTTTCTATCCTTGCCTCCCCCACCCACAAGAAGTAATGGAAATATTTACCCATCTAGGTCGGTAGTCTCCACAAGGGATTGGCCTAAGCCCCACCCAAAGTGGGGCTTACTATTCTTCTGAGATTCTGAAGAGATATGAGGCTTTTCATTCCGGAAGGAGTCAGAGAGTGACTGGTACTCCACTGCTGCTCTGGATTGGTAACTGCCAAGCTGGACTGTAACATTGTCCACTCTTTTCCTATTTTACCAATGTTCCCTCAAATATTTGGGGGTAGAGTCCTATGAGAGGGCATATGGGGAGGGCATAGGCCAGTTCAGCCCTCTCCTCCCCCCACTCCCTCTCTCTCTGCCAGAAAAGGCTTGGATAGTATAGCTAAACATTTTTTTATTTGATAATTTAAAAAATTTTAAACTTAAATACAAAATGAGAGAAGAAAAAACAAACACTGCCATGTACACAGTAGACCATAAGAGAGGATTCAATATAAAACAGCAAATGTCCATTTCAAGAAAACCTCTGTGACAAATACTCCACACTGTTTTCAAAGCTGCCCAGCTTTTCTCTGCTTCCTGATTGGTTTTCTTTTGTTCTCTGCTGTGCACTTTTTACTTGATTTTTCTCCCCCCCCTCTCAAAGAAGGCTACAATTTAGCGTGGATATATAAACATATACATAGATATCTATAAACATCAACATATATACACTCACATACATAATTGTAAGACCATCCTATGTTTATTTCCTTCTATCATCTGTCTCTCTGCCTTCACAGCTCCAAGTCTTTCCTCGTTTTTTCTAAATCAACCAGCTTATGATGTCCTGCACCACAGCAGTATTCCAGCCCAGTCACATCCTACCTGAGGGATTGTCTAGGAAAGTTTTTTCCCAATTTTCTGCATTCCTTCTGTTCTTGGCTGCATAGGTTTTGTTTATACAAGAAAATTTTGATCTAAAATAATCAAATCAAAATTACCCTTTTTACATTTCAAAAATGCTCTCACCTTAGAACATAGTTTAAGGTCTGATACTACTGAGTCTGCTTCATTGACATTTTCTTTCTCTGGTTTCTTTGAAGCTCCTCACCTTTTGTTCTTCCGTATGAACTTTGTTAGTATTTTTCTAACTCAGTAAAATGATTTTTTTTTAGTAATTTAATTGGAAAGACATTGAATAAATAGATTAGTTTGATAAAACTGTCATTAAAAACTATATTGACTTTACCTACCCATGAACAATAAATAGTACTTCCATTATTTAGATCTGAGTTTATTTATATAAAAAGTATTTTATGTTTATGTTCACATAGTTCCTGTGTCTGTCTTGGCAGGTATGTGTTTATACAGTATTTTATACTGTCTATATATTTTAAATGGTCTAAAACTATATTGAATTATCTCTATGACACAGAATAGTTTCTCTGTTTTTCACTTTTGATTAAATGTATTTCACCTTTAACTTTGTCTGAGATCATGATTACTATCCCTGCTTTTTTTTACATAATAAATTCTACTCCTGCCCTTTATTTTATCTTTGTGCATAACTCTCGTTTTTACGATGTTTCCTGAAAGCAACATATTGTGGAATTCAAATTTTTAATCTGCTATCCATTTCTGTTTTATGGGTAACTTCATCCCATTCACATTCTAAGCTACAATTATTTGTTGTGTATTTCCCTCCTTCCTGTTTTTCCTCACTGTCCTTCTTACCCTATCTCTCTTCACTCCTCTGCTTCACTTCTACCCACTACCTTGTCCTCCTATTCCTTAGCTTACCTATCCCTCCAAGAGTTCCTCCCTTATCCTCTCCCTTACACCCTATCCTCTTGCCTTCTTACTTTTTTCTGAATTTAGAAGACATTATATATACATTATATATATTTCCTTCTTTAACCCATTCCCAATGAGAGTAGGGTTCCAGCACTACCTGCCCTTCCCTCTACTAGTTTCTTCTGTATCAATTTTTCCTTGTATGCCTCATTTGCATGAGATAATTATTCCTTTTTATCTCTCCCTACAGCTTTATCTTTTTAGAATCACCCCATCATACTCAGCTCAGCCCAAGTCTTTCTTTCAAACTACCCAAATGATGATGACAATCATAAGAGTACTGCTAATGTTTTCACATATACGCAGTAAACAATTTGACCTTATTGAGTCCCTTATATCTATAGTCTTTAATGTTTACCTTGTATTTCTCCTGTATGTTATATGTCAAATTTTCCCTTAAGTTCTGGGGTTTTTTTGTCACAAACACCTGAAGGTCTTTCAGTTCATTAAATGTCCATTTTTTTTTTATTCAGGATTATACTTAACTTTGCTGGGTAAGTTACCTTTGGTTGTAACCCTAGTTCTTTTGCTCTATGGAATATAGTATTCCAAGACCTATGGTCTTTCAACATAATAGCTGCTAGATCTTGTGTAATCCTTATTGTAGCTCCATAATTAAATTTTTTTTCCCTTGTTGCTTCCAATATTTTCTCTTTAACCTGGGAGCTTTGAAACTTGGCTATGCTACTCCTGTAAGTTTTCCTCCTGGGATCACCACCTGGGTGGTGATCAGTGGATTTTTTGTATTTCTGCTTTGCCTTCTTGTTCTAGAACTTCAGGGCAATTTTTCTTGATAATTTATTGTAATATTATATCAAGATTATTTTTTAATCATATTTTTCAGGTAGCCTGACTATTCTTACATTATTTCTCCTTGCTCTGTTCTCTAGATCCATTGTTTTTCTGACAAGATGTTTCACTTCCTCTTCTGTTGTTTCATTCTTTTGCTTTTGTTTTATAATTTCTTGGAGTCCTAGAATGTCATTAGCTTCACCTTGCCCAATTCTAGTTTTCAAGGAATTAATTTCTTCCTTAAGTTTTTTATTTTCTATGTCAAGTTGGTTGACTTTCTTTTCATAATTTTCTTCATTTTCTTAGATTGCTCTTTTTTTCCCCTAATTTTTTCTCAATCTCTCTTATATGATTTTTAAAGTCCTTTTTACATTCTTCTAAGAACTCTTTTTGTGCTGGGGACCACTTGACATTTCTCATTGAAAAAGGAGTGGGTTTTTTTAGCTCCATCATTTTCCTCTGAATATGAACCCAGATCTTCTGTATCCCCATAGTAACTATCTATGGTTGGGGTTTTTCTCCTTTGCTTACTCATCTTTATTTATTTATTTTTTATTTTATTTATTTATTTTTTAAAGCAGCTATCAATGTAATCAAGTTGTAGTACCAAAGTTTGGGGAATGATGCCCCAAGTCTCAGGTCTTTCTTACTGTTATTTTCTGAGGTCTGTCTCAGGGCCCAACCTTGAGCTCTTCTCTCCACTTAGGGCTCCCGGCCACACTGTCCTGCAAATGATCTTGCTCTCTGCAGTTCCCCCCGCCTCCCCCATGGCTGCAAACCACAGCTGTCCTCTGCCCTGGAACTGAAACCAGGCACGGTCTCAGCCATTCATCGCTGCACTCATCAGGTGTGCACGTGTCTGGTCAGCACAGCTATGCTTACACTCAACAGTGGAAGGTCCTTCAATCGTCTTCTCAGCCATCAGACCCCTACACTGTCTGCAAAATGCAAGTTTCTAAGGCTGAGGCTGCAGAGTTGGCCTGGAGGTGTTTGCACTTCACCCCTGGAGGTCGGGTCTTTCCTGGGGTCTTCTCAAATTGTCTTAGGAGGACAACTGCTTTACCCTGTGTTTATTTCTGCTGCTCTGAGGCTACGGTCTGTCTTTTTTTGTGGAAGAAATATGGAGGACCGCAAATTTTCTGACCTACTCTGCCATCTTCCCAGAATCCTCCCTCTTGGACAGTAAATGAATGTTCAGTGAGATCAAATTGTCTCTGGCAGACTTGCACCTAAAATGCAGTCTAATAGTCACCTTTTTTTTTTAAAATTTGGGAGACTCAGCTCTTGGAGTACCAGGGGGCTTTTGATCTCTTGGGTTTCTCAAGGGTTTTCAGGGTCTCTTGGGATCTCTCACAGACCCTCCTTATATGCTGAGTGCAGAGGTCCATGCTAAGGGGTAGGGACTCCGCCAGGGCACTCTTCATATACTCTGGGGAGCTCCAGCTCTAGTCTTTATGAATCTCTACAGCTCAGGCTCTGTCTCTCCCTCTCTCTGTCTCCACTCTGCTTCTCTGCCTCTCGCTCACCTCCAGCCAGATAGAGGAGATGGCCTCTTGAGGCTTCTCCAGGGGTCTTGGGACCTAGAAAGAGGAAAGCCCTAACGGGCTGGGACACAAGCCATCTCATCGGCTAGTTCTTCCTCCTCGACCTCTGGGGCCCTGAGGACTTCCTCATCTTCATCACTACCCATGGGACCCCATACTTGGGTCTGGGCGGGGGAGGGCCTGGCAGCCCCCAGGGCAAGCAGGTCACAGGCAGCACTGTCCATCTCATCCAGGGTCAGCCGGCAGGCATCAGCAATCTCCTGCTTTGCCAGGGCCACAAAGCGAGGGTCACGGGCAAAGAGGCCCAGGCCTTCAGAGATCAGCACCTGTGGGCATCCATCAGTGGGAGCAGGGCAGTGGCCCAGGGAAGGGAGGGATGACAGGGGAATTTTAGAATTGGAAAGACGGCAGAGAGGATGGGAGTTCAGGATGCATGAAGTGGGTAGGCGGGGAATGTCAGATCCTAGAGGGGCACTGGCTGCAGGGCCTAAGTTATACAGGCAGATGGGGGAGGGGAAAAGAAGGGAGGGAGGAGAGGGAAGGGAAAAGGGAAGAAGGGAAGGGAGTACTTCTACAACCAGTTGTCATGTCTAGGGGTAGGGTACCTTTTCTCACCCCTACCCTCACCCCATTCAGACTTACAGCTTCCACCAGGCTGTCAGCGCTGCCCCTTTTCCCTGGGCTGGGCGGTATGTGGGTGCTGGGCACATGCAGGCGGGCATAGGTGCGCAGTGGGCCCTGGGACTCCCCTTCAGTGTAATCTCCCTGGAGCCTGCCCTCCTCCACCAGTAGCAGGGGTGCATAGAGCAGGTGGCCCCGCTGAGGAGGTGTGGCCCATGAACCCTGGAAGAAGGAGAAACAGGTCCCAAAGGCAGCAGGGAAAGAAACACGTGTGAGTGGTTGGCAGTTAGCTGACTGCACCTGTCCGGGCCCCCTAAGCTCCTCCTTACCTGTGCCTGGCGGCTGCCAGAAGATCCCCCGCGTTGATAGGTTCCAGGGATCGGGAAGTCATCGCAGCTCTCCTGGCGTTGCATACGCTGGACGGTGAAAGAGGGCTTCTGGGCTGACAAAGTCCAGGAGGGCAGAGGGTCACTGACCCCTGTCCTCTGAAACAGGCCCTCTCTCCCAGGGCCACAATGCCCATATCCCTTCCTCCAGATCCCTCCCATCTCATCCCCTGCTGGGGCTCTCACTGGCAGGTGTTGGGGGCAGTAGGCGACGGCGGCGGGAGTGTGGGCCCAGGAGCCTCCCCAGTTGTCCAGAGGGTTCCCGAGGAGGAGGTGGTGGTGGGAGGAGGATGTGATGGGGCCTCCCGATGAGCTCATTTAGATGGGGTTGTCTGTTGGAGAGTTGAGGAGGAAATTAGAAAGAGGAAGACTGGGGCAGCTAGGTGTCGCAGTGGACGGAGCACCGGCCCTGAAGTCAGGAGGACCTGAGTTCAAATGCGGCCTCAGCCCAAACACTTGACACTTACTAGCTGCGTGACCCTGGGCAAGTCACTTAACCCCAATTGCTTTAAATAAATAAAAATTTAACAAGAAAGAGGAGGACCAGGTTTGTGAAGGAAGGGGATCAATCCTTTTTTACCTTTTATCCTGGCTGGGAGAGTGGTCCTTTTCTTTCTCCTGTTCTGCCAGGCCCTCAGGTCCTGAGGGCAGCTCTTCTGGCATGGGGAAAGCACTGCCAACGGAGGAGAGAGACATCCTAGGTTGGCATTGTCTCCCCTGCCTTCTATGGCTGGTTCCTTCTCAGGTTTTACCGACTCCCCCATCCCCACTCCCCTAAAGCTTGGTTACGCCAAGGGAAGGGCCATAGTGAGTTACTTTAAAGCAGCTGAGAACATCTAAGATAAGGTCAAAATGGGTACATGACTTAGACATAAAAAATGACAGTATAAGCAAATTAGGGGAGCGTGATATATTGTGCCTCCCAGAATTATGGATAAGGGAAGCTTCACGGAAAAAGGAAAAAGTTATGATCAAACCAGAGACAGAGAACATTATGGGAAATAAAATGGATAATTTTGATTACATCAAATTAAAGAGTTATTGCACAAACAAAACCAATATAGGCAAGATTAGAAGGAAAGCAAGAAACTGGGAAATAATTTTCACAGCAAATTTCTCTGATAAAGTTTTCAGTTCTCAAATATATAGACAACTGAGTCTAATTGATAAAAATAACAGCCATTCCCCAATCGACAAATGGTCAGAGCGTATGAACAATTTTCAGCAAAGAAATCAAAGCTATTTATGGTCATACCAAAAAAATCACTACTGATTAGAGAAATTCAAATTAAAACCACCCTGAAGTACTATCTCACAGCTATCAGATTGACTAATATGACAGAAAAGGCAAATGATAAATATTGGAGGGGATGTGGAAAAACAGGGACACTAATGCACTGTAGGTGGAGTTGTGAACTGATGCAACTATTCTGGAAGCAATTTGGAACTATATCCAAAGGGATATAAAATTGTGCATACCCTTTGACCCAGTAATACCACTACTAGGTCTGTATCCCAAAGAGATCAAAGAAAAAGGGAAAAGGACCTATATGAACAAAAATATTGATAGCAGCTCTTTTTGTGGTGGCAAAGAATTAGAAATCAAGGGGATGGCCATCAGTTGGGGAATGGCTGAACAAGTTGTGGTACATGATTATATTGGAATACTATTGTGCTATAAGAAATGATGAGCAAGCTGCTTTCTGAAAAATCTGGTAAAACTTACAAGAACTGATGCAAAGTGAAGTGAGCAGAACCAGGGGAACATTGTACACAATAATAGTAATATTGTATGATGATCAGTGGTGAATGACTTAACTATTCTTAGCAGTACAATGATCCAAGATAATGCTGAAGGACTTACAAAGAGAAAGAACTGATGGAATTTGAATGCAGATTGAAGCACACTTTTTTTTTTTAGGCAATTGGGGTTAAGTGACTTGCCCAGGGTCACGCAGCTAGTAAGTGTCAAGTGTTTGGTTTGAGGCCGCATTTGAACTCAGGTCCTCCTGACTTCAGGGCCGGTGCTCTGTCCACTGCGCCACCTAGCTGCCCCCCATACTTTTTTTTTTTTTTACTTTATTATTCTTGGAGGTTTTTGATGTGCATTTTCTTTTGCAACATGGCTAATACAGAAATGTTTTGCATGAATATACATGTATAATCTATAACAAATTGCTTGCCTTCTCAAGGAGGAACATGATGAGGAAGAGAGGGAAACAATATGGAATCCAAAAAAAAATCTGTGTTAAAATTTTTTTGTTTACATGTAATTAAGAAAAAATAAAATAAAAATTAAATGTACAAAAAAACTTGACAATGAAGAAATATTGCTACTAAATACATTTGCACTACAGATCATAGCAACAAAATACTTAAAGTAAAATAAACAAATATGCAAAAATAAAAAAAAAAATTTAAAAAAAAGCAGCTGGGAGGAGATACAAGAAATATGAGGCAGCTCCAGTGGTAACCAAGAGTCCAATGGTGACAGATGGACTCAGAGCTGGGGAGATGTTGGGGAGAAACCTAAGCGTGGAGAATGGAAACAGTGCAGTCTGTACTAAGGCATGCAACTGTACTTAGGGGTTTCTTTTATTTCATTTTTTTTTTAAATAACCCTCCATTTGGAGGGGCTGCTCTTCCCTATTCACTCAGTCATTAATACCTCAGGCTTTACAAATCCATGGATATTTCTTGTCAATCAGCATAACAGAATCACTACATTTTGCCACCTGGACTGTCGCACCCGCTGAAGAAGATGCCATCATTTTTCTAATTACACATATGATGATTCAATTCAATAAATGTTTATTGAATAACAAAATAAAAATAAAAATAACTCTCAATTTAACTCACATATGGGCCAAGGAGCTGAGTAAGCCAGGTAAGCCGGTCTTTTGTATTTGTGCCTGACACACAGTGAGCGCTTAATAAATGCTTTTCATTGATTCCTTTACCCCCTCTTTCACTTATTCGCTCATTCATTCAACTAGATGCAGCTGGGGGCACCACAGTGGATAGAACCTTGGGCCTGGAGTCAGGAAGATCTGAGTTCAAATCAAGCCTCAGACACTTCTTAGATGTGTGATCCTGGGCAAGTTACTTAATCTTTGTATGCCTCAGGTTCCTCATCTGTAAAGTGGAGACAATTACAGCACCTACCTCCCACTGTTTGCATGAGGATGAAATGAGATAACGTGTGTAAAATGCTTTGCAAACCTCAAAGTACTATCAATGCTTCTTCTTCTTCTTCTTCTTCTTCTTCTTCTTCTTCTTCTTCTTCT